CGCGTTCGGTTTTCCATCCGGGAAGGAGCAGGTCCGCCGCCCACGTGCGGCCTTGCCCCCTCGCGCATTGCGCCGGCCCGTTCAGAGCGGGCCAGGGCCGCCGCGCGCGCGGCCGCCTTGCCCCCGTCGCTCTTCTCTTCCCCCCCGCCCCGCCCATCGCGGGCGGCGGCCCTGCTCCCGCGCGCGCAGAATCTTGTCGTGCGTGATTGGCTAGGGACGCGGCGCGCGCGGCGGCCGCGCCCCTCCTCGCCCTCCCCCTGGCGCATTGTTCTTCCATGCGCGCAGCATGAGCAGGGGGCGCCGGGCGCGCGGCGGCCCCGCCCTTCGCGCGGAACGTTTCTGCGCGCAGAATTGGGCAGGGCCGCCGTGGGCGCGGTGGCGGGGTCACCGCGCGCGTGGCGTGCTCCCCTTTGGCAGTGGCCAGCGCCGCCGCGCGCGACGCGGCCCTTCCACTGCGCGCGCTGTGTTCCCGATGCTGACTGGGCGAGCGTGGCCGCGCGCTCGGCGGCCGCCGCCGCGGCGACGCCGCCCCCCGCGCATTGGGCGCGTCGGCCATGCCCCTGAGCGATTTGGTGTCGCAGCCAGAATCGGCCAGGGCCGCCGCGCGAGCGGCTTCTCTGTTCTCTCGCGCGCGGTGCCGCATCCCATTCGAATGGGCAAGGGCCGCTGGGGCGACGGCCCAGCCCCCTCGCGTGCGGCGTTGTTTCCTCTGCGATTCGCTTGGGCCGCCGCGCTCGCTGCGGTCTGGGCCTGTCGCGCGTTGTCTCTTGTCGCGCAGAGTTGGGCGGGGCCGCCGCGCGCGCGGCGCCCCCCCCCCCCCCCGTGTCCGCGCTAATTTGTCGTGCCCCTCGCGCGGTGGGCCCGGGCTTTCGAGGCCGCAGCGGCAAAACAAAGAGTGGATACATAACTATATATATATATATATATACATACATATGTAGAACAGCTATCCTGTGGTGTTGGTTCCTCGTTTTGAAGGAACGGCTCTTGCGTCTCCCCCTCCCGTGCCCCCCCATCCAGTGGCCGTGCCGCATGCGTCCGCCACGCCCGGAGCAGCGTTTCGTGGCAACACAGGAAGGTCCGCGCAAGACCCCCGTGGGGGTGCCACATGCGTCCGCCGCGCGTCCGCCGCACCCAACACAGCGTTTCGTGGCCCCGCAGGGAGCTCCACGCAAGGCCCCAGTGGGGGTGCCACACCCAGTGCAGCGTTTCGTGACCCCAGAGGGAACTCCGCGTAAGGCCCCCGTGGGGGTGCCACATGCGCCCGCCGCACCCAGTGCAACGTTTCGTGGCCCCATAGGGAGCTCCACGCAAGGCCCCAGCGGGGGTGCCACATGCGCCCGCCCCCCCTTGCGCAGCGCTTCGCGGCTCTATAGGGAGGTCCACCCGAGGCCCCGCTGCCCCGCAGGAGCTCCACGCAAGGCCCCAGTGGGGGTGGCCACATGCGTCCGCCACATCCAGTATAGCGTGACCCCACAGGGAGCTCCATCGGGGGCCCCAGTAGGGGTGGCCACATGCGTCCGCCACACCCAGCACAGTGTTCCGTGGCCAGTGGGGCCGTCCGCGTGCGTCCCGCACATTCAATTTGGCATTGTCACCCACCCAGTACAGCGCTTCGTGGCCCTATAGGGAACTCCACCGAAGCCCCCAATGGGGCCGTCCGCGTGAGTCCCGCACATGCATTTGACATTTTCACCCACCCAGTACAGCGCTTTGTGGCCCCAATCGGGAGCTCTGCCGAAGCCCCCAGTGGGGCCGCCCACGTGCGTCCCATAAACACTTAGTTTTGCATTTTCATATCCAGCACAGAGTTTCGTGGCCCAATAGGGAGCTCCACCGAAGTTCCGAGTGGGACCGTCCGCGTGCGCCCCGGAAGCCTAAATTTGCATTTTTCGCCCACGCAGTATAGCGTTTCGTGGCCTCACAGGGAGCTCCACCAAAGCCCCCAGTGGGGCCGTCTGCGTGCGCCCTGGAAGCTTAATTTAGTATTTCGCCCGCGCAGTATAGCGCTTCGTGGCCTCATAGGGAGCTCCACCGAAGCCCCCAGTGGGACCGTCCGCGTGCGCCCCGGAAACCCAATTTGGCATTTTCTCGCACTCAGGCCCGCTTCGCAAGCGCAGGGCAAGGAACCTGGGGGCCGCCGCGCCGCGCGCGCCGCGCCCCTCCCGCGGCCCTTGTCTGGGCGCTGGTGCGTGCATTCTCGCTTCCTTAAAGCATGCTCGTCTTGCTGGTCAGGACCAGTCATCGAATTGTCATCCGTTTTCTCTGGACCCCTCGCATGATTTGCGTATTTCCCCTATTGGTCTCCTTCAGGACCCTTGCGTGCCTGCTATCCTTCGTCAACCGACTGTTCATTCATTCGATTGTGTTGGTCCCGCCCTGGATCTATAGATTTTCTCGGTGGCTGCCGGTGCCCACTGCAAAGTTTTTTTGCCACGCCAAGGGGGGCAATGCAGTGCGACGTGGGAAATGCCGTCCGAGCAGCTCCTGGCGTCGCGGCAAGTTGCTTGCCAGAGCAAGCGCGCCGCGCAGTTCGAATTGACATTTGCCTTGGAACTGCCTCTCCTGCCTTGCCTGGCCCCCATGTTCGCGAGAAAGATGCAGACCTCTCGGAACTTACAAATCATGCGGTCATATTCGAGGTTTCAGTCAGAAAGGTGCAGGCCAGCCGGCCACTGACCTGGTAACGGACGCTGTCGCACGTAGTTTCTGCATCCCCATAAGGGAGCATCCCAAGAACGGTGTGCCGCTTGACCTGGGGCCGCTAGGTGATGACTCGTCGGTTTGAACCGTCCAGGCTCCCCAAGTCGGCAGCTCAGGCCGGCTCAGGCCGCCTGTTGCGGGGAAGGGGCTGCGCAATGTGGGCTTGGCGATTGATTATGAATGAAGTTTCTCCTCCTCCCTGCGGCTTTTCCTTGTATCGGCCCGAGAGGGCTGTCCCAGGCAGCCCTTTGTGAGGGCAGGTCCTGCATCCATATTTCCGCAGAGGCACGTGCAAACCCGCGGTCTCCTGTATAGGGCCGCTGTTGGGATTCGCCTCCAACGCGCATAACCTTAGCTTCTTCGTCCTTCTCCTCCCTCCTCCTCCTCCTCCTCCTTTTTCTCTTCCTCCCCGTCCTCCTCCTTTTCCTCTCCTCCTCTATCCTTCTTCTTCGTAGATCATTCGTGCCAATCGCACCCCGAAACGGCTCGGTGGGGTTGGCCGGGCATTTTGCTTCAGACATCATCACCAGCTATGATGTTGAGACTGAGAATTTCGAACCTTTTGCATGGATGGAGGGCGGGCCGTTTTCAAAATGCTGTTCTCGCCATAGTGCCGCGCGCATTCGCCGTAAAAGGTTGCGAGGGTTCCGCGAATGGAGGGCGGGCCGTTTTCAAAGTGTGGCTCTCGCTTTAGCGCCGTGATCACTCGTCGTAAGCATTTGCCAGAGTTTCGCGGGTGGAGGGCTTCCCGTTTTCAACATGTGGTTCTTGCCATAGCACCGCACGCACTCGCTTTAAACATTCGCAAGCGTTTCACGTATTCAATGCGTGCCGTTTTCAAGATGTGGCTCGTCGTTTACATTTTTCGTACAACTTTATAACAGTTTCAGTTTTCAAAATGTTGTTCTTGCTCTCGCGCCACGCAAATTCGTCTTAACAGAATTCGTCTCAACAGAGTGCATCCCTTTTCAAGAGTTATTCTCGTTGACATCCCAGAAATCGTGTTTTGGCACAGTGCGCGATCGGAACGTTGATTTGCGGTGTTGAAGTCCCAGGAATGGTGTCTTGGCACGAAGTCGCAGGAATGGTGCGTTGGCATGGTTGCCGATCTTCAGACGGTTGTTTTCCAACACAACTTTTCCCGCAGTGAAAATGAATGTTTGTAGGGACCCGTGAGTAGGGATTTTGGAAGTAGGGTTTATTGTAATATCGTTGATGAGCCTTGGGTTTGCACAGGTCCTCCTCTTCCTTCCTCCTCCTCCTCCTCCTCCTCCTCCCTTCTCCTATTTCTCGTATCCCTTGATCTTATGCCTCCCTGGCCTGGGAGCCTGCCAGTTATGCGCGCGCTGGTATCGCGATGGGGCCAGTGAAGTACAGGGCCCCGTGGCCAAAATCCGGGTTTGCGTTTTGTTTGTTTGTTTGTTTGTTTGTTTGTTTGTTTTTGAAAGCCATGGCGTTTTTCGTTGATTTCGGGCTTTGGCCTCCTACCTCCTTCCATTACGTAGATACGAAACTAGGCCTAAATCGCTTCAGGCATATGTTTTGTTCTTTGACTCTTTGGCAATCTTGCCACTTCAGGAGGTATTCCGAGACATGTTCATCCCGCTTTGCAAGGAGCTCGTCGCCCAGAAGGTCATTGGTCAGTGTTGTTGCTGTTTGTTACAAAAACTGATCTCAGGTTCTGGGGCCCGTGAGTTAGGGGCGGCCAAGAGGGGTGTGCTGACTCGGGATGTGTGGATATCATAGCCGTGGTCATGATCTCTCTCTGGATTTCATGGCACCCTCTTCTCGTTTGAATACCTCCCTCTGGCCCCCCTGGGTCGCGAACGTGCCTTGGGCCATGATTGGCGAATCCCCCCTCTTGGACGTCCCCCTCTTGAACGCCCCCGATTTACCGGGCCTTAGGACAATCAAATATGGATTTCGGGCGAAATCTACCGCCTGGGAAACCGGTCAGGACCCCTGGGGCCGCGCACTGAAACAATCATGTCGTCTGATGTCTGGGTGGGGCTCTTTTAGGCCTCTGGGCAGGGTCGACGTCTTCGTGCTGCTCGCAGCCCCCCCCTACTCCCCCCTTCTCCTCACCACACGTCCTCCTCCTACTCCCGTTTTGTTTTAGAAGCCTGGGGGCGTTTTTTTTGATGTCTGCTTGGCTTCTGGAAGCCTCCTGACATCTCCTCCTCTTCCTCCTCCTCTGCTTCCTTCCTCCTGCCTGCTTCTTCCGGTAAAGCTCCTCCTCCTCCTCCTCCTCGGCCTCCCCTCCTTCCTTCCCCGCACCCTGCGCCGGCGTGCGTGAGGCAGACGACGGGTTCTTGTACATAAAGTACGGGGCCGAGAACACGCTGGGCTGATGCGTGCGGGAGGATCACTTTTTGGCCCCGCTTTCCGGACAGGAACTGTTTGTTGCACATTCCTCTTCTTGCTCTCATCATTGGGGGCTCTTTGAGAGGCAGCGGGGGAGGGGAAGACGCTGGGAGGGACGGAGGAGGCAGAAGGGAAATCAAGGAGGAGGGATATGGGAGGCAAGAGGGCTTGATGACGAGGATAATGGATGGATGAGTAGGAATGGCAGATGAATGGTGATGACGAAGGACCAGGAGGGATGATGGGGGAGCGTGGGTGGATGATGGGCGTATGAGGGATGTTGATGTTGAGGATGAGCAAGATTTGGCAGTTTGGTGCGGCAGCTCAGAGAGAAAGCTTAAAGAGAGATATGTGAGAAACAGAGGGAGGGGCACGCTCAAGCCTTTCTGGCTCGGCGGCGCGCCGAACCCCTCTTTCTTCGAAGGGAGGAGGGCCCCCCCCCGCAGGGGGTGCCGCGGCCATGGCGGCCTCCGCGTGGCTCTCGGCCCCGGCGCTCGCTGCCGTGTTGCGGTGGGGCGCGGGCGCGGCCGCCGCCGCCACTCCGCACGCCCCACGGCGCGCGCGGCAACCGCGGCGCCCGCCACGGACGCAGTCTCTCTCTCTCTCTCTGTCTCTCTCTCTCTCTCTCTCCCTTCGCTTGGGCCGAGGAGGTCGCGGAGGAGAGAGACTACACTTACGTTGATCACGATCATCTCGCCGCTTCGGGCTTCGCGAAGGTCGATGATGCGGTCTCCCTGGTGGCCACGTGGAACTTCCCAGGGACGCGTCGCCCATCGAGGCGCTACCCGTGGCGGCCCAGCCGCCGCCAGGAGCCTCCGCCGAGTAGAACGAGCACCACGGAAATTACTACCAGGCGGAGCAGGCGCGCTGCGCACGACCGCGGCCCAGCTTGTCGGCCACGCCGCGCCAGACATCACCGTCCAGGACGACGAGGACGATGGCAGCGACGAGGACGAGGAGGAGGGCGGCTACGACGAGATGGAGCCAGCCCGGAGGCCGGCGCCCGCCCCCGCCCCGCCGCGGCCGCCCCCGTTGGGCCCGCCGCCGCATGGAGCTGGGCCTCCACGGTGTGGGCCTGCTCGGGTCGCGCCGCCGCTGTGGCGAACCCCGCCGCGGGGTTCCTCGGGTCCCCCCTCCGCCATGTCTGGGGGGTCGCCTTCGGGGAGTGCGCGCACGTCGTCTGGACCTCTGCCCTGGTGACCCTGGGATGCCTGTGTGTCTCGGTCGGGGGTCGGGGCTGTTTGGATTCCGCTGTCGCAGTCGACGCCCTCTCATTCGGCCCCGCGCGGGCGCGCCTCGGGCTCTGCAGCTGCCGCTGCCGCCCAGCCCCCCTGGGCCGCCCCCGCCGCCGCCGCCGGAGCTGGGCGGGCCAGGGGCCCCGCGCTCTGTCGACGACGCGAAGCGCGGCGAGGTGCGTTCCCGAGGGGCCAACGGCCATCGTCGGCACTTTATCATCGTCGTGGAGGGTCAGGCTTCGCAGGTCAGCCGAGGATTGAGAGCGGGGGCCCCGGCGCGCGCGTCGGGGCTCACTTGCGACTGCGAGGCTTCTGGGGGTCGATGTCGGGGCGCCTGCGACGCTTGCCTGGAGGAGGCGCCCGCAGAGAGGATCCACCCTCGTCGCGAGGCACCCTGGGGACTTCGGACAGAGCGCGCTGCATTTCGACGCCTGCGACCACGGTCTCCGCGCACCTGGTGTTCAGCAAGATCTTCGAGACGGCGCTTTGCTATGACCAGATGGACATCAGCGACCTCGGGGCGCCAGAGCCGGCGGCCCGTCAGCTGCAGCTTCGCGAGGAGCGCTGCCGCGACGAGAGCCTCGGAACCGGGGTCGGCGACGAGAGCCATCCCGATGAGCGCTACTACTTCGCCAGCATGGCGACCGCGCGCGGGCGCGTGGTGTCGCCTGGGCCCAGCGCCTGGATCAGCGAGCAGATCGCCCGCGATAGCGCCATCGCCAAGGAGCGGGGAAAGGCGGGGGAGGGGCGCTCGCTGGACCGTGCGAAGAATGGGTCCTTGGGCGACAAGGGGGCGAATGGCCTGCCGCCGCCCCTCCATAGTTTCGGCTGCCTGCTGCCCCTTGCCCCTGGGCTGGCAGGCTCCATTCGTTTCGGCCGCGGCGGGGTGGGCCTTGATCGCGGAGACGGCTGCTGTCGTGCTGGTTCGCCGTGGGCTCCGCCGTCGCCGTGCTCTGGGGTGGGCCGGCGACGGCATCTCGCCCCTCAAATACCTCTCTGGTCGCGGCGACGTGTCAGTTGCGCCGCCCTCCGTCATGCAGCGTCTGAGCCTGGTCCGCCAGGGGCGCAGCTACTTGGCGGTCGGGCCGCGCCCCGCTGATCAACGCCCCCGCGGGGGCCTTCGTGGGCTCCGCGGTTCCGCCCGTCATGCGCGGCGAGACTTCGCCGCCGTCGTGCCCTGCGAGGGCCTCGTGTTCTGGCCGGCCGCCGGAGCAGCCTCGGTCGATCTTGCCGGCGGTTTTTCGGTCGAGCG